ACCAACTCAATGTGGATCATGGACCTAGGACTAAAAGCAAGGACTATAAACTTCATTAAAGAAAAGCTTGGAAGAACTCTAATAGTCCTAATCCACAACATAAACAGTCTTCCAAGTATCCTGAAAAAATCTACAACCAGGAGAAGATAAAATAGATGAATGGGACCTTCTAAGAATCAAATTCCTATGCACATCCAAAAACTTCTCCAACAGGGTGAAAAAGGAAGCCACAGACTGGGAAAAAGTATTTGGTAATGATATGTCTGATAGGGGACTTCTAGCTAGAATTTGTAAAATACTTGAGCACCACAACAAGACAAAGGTAAATAATCCAATTGAAAAATGGTCACAGAAAAAAAAAAAGAAAAATGGGCACAGGATATGATCAAACACTTCACCAAAGAAGACATTCAGATGGCCAACAAGCACATGAAGAAATGCTCAAAAAATCTCTACCGCTAAGAGAGATGCAAATCATGACAACAATGAGATATCATCTCACCCTAGTAAGACTAGAAAAATTTAACAGAATAGCAAACAACAAATGCTGGTGAGATTGTAGCGAAACTGGAACCCTTATTTATTGTTGGTGGGATTATAAAATGGTGCAACCACTATGGAAAATGGTGTGGCACTTTCTCAAAAAAGTTGCAAATAGAGATACAATTTGACCCAGCAATTCCACTACTGGGAATATAACTTAAAGAGACCATAACCGACATCCAAGCGGATATATGGACAGCCATGTTAATCGCGCCTTTGTTCACAATAAGAAGGCGTTGGAAACAACCTTAGTGACCATCAGCAAATGAACATAGAGAATCTGTGGTATATTCACACAATGGAATACTATGATGCATTTTAAAAAAAGGAACTCATGCAATATTATTCAAAATGGGTGACCCTTGAGGACATTATGCTGAGTGAAATATCTGTCACAAAAGGACAAACACCGCAAAGTGCCACTGCTGCAGAATGGCACTGACATCAGGATTGGGGTAGGAATGAGAAAAAACTGGATGAATTATGTATACTGCATTGAAAGGATGAGACAGAGAACAGTTTAAAAGCAATATGTTATTGGGCATTATGATTATCATAAGAGTCTGGAATGAAGGTTGCAGAGTGGAATATACTCGGGGTGGAGGTGGGGTGGTGTGGGGGATTGTATACCAATGAAGGAATTTTCTTTTACTTTTCAAAGAGAAGAGCAAACTGGGGGTGGGGGTGGGGTGGGTGGGGAGAAAAGTGCAACAATGAATGAATGGAAAACCAAAATCTCTGTAAATGTTCATTGAAATTAATAAAAGAAAAAAAGGTAATCCTAGGGTAAATCACATATACTTCCCTAGAATTCTAAAAACGTGTACTTTCTAGTGCATTTTAAAACACCTAGAAGAGACAAAAACATCTTTATATATTAGATGTATTGATAATAACATAGAATTTACATATTTATCCTCACTTGTTAAAATTTACAATATAATTATATGCCATATGTATTTTGGAATCACCACCTATAATTTATGGAGCTCTGGTGACCTAGTGGTAAGAAGGTGTGCTGCAATCTTGAACGCACACAGTTCGAATTCACTAGCTGCTCCCCAGGAGAAACATGGAAAACAATCTCCTCTAGTTCAATTAACTGCCTATAATTTTATCCTGAGTAAGATTTACATTACATTTAAATAGCATGTGTTATACACTGCAAACTTACCAAAATATTTTCAACTATTAAATTTAGGATATTCACACATGGATTACCCTTTGTTGTTGTTACGTGCCATTGAGTTGCGACCCTATGTACAACAGCTCTGAACCCTGCTCTATCCTGTGCCTATTGTCTCTGGCGCACCTATCCCTATTATACCAGTGACTAAATCAATCCATCTCACAGAGAGTCTTCCTCTCTTGTCCTGTCCCTTATCCCTCCCAAACACGATGTCCTACAAGGGGTTGTCCCTCTTTGCAACATGCCCAAAATATGTCAGACAAAGGTTCAGAATCCTTGCCTCCAAGGAACAGCCTGGTTTCATAATCTTAGGACAAATCTGTTAGTTCTCCTAGCAGTCCACAGTATACTCAATACCCTTTTCCAACATGACAACTCCAAGGCATAAATCCTCCTTGTATCATCCCTAGTCATTGCCAAGCTTTCTGATGTGTAGCAAGTAATTGCATAGGCCATGGCCTGGACAAGGTGCACCTTAGTCTCCAGACTGACATCATTGTTCTTCAGTACTCTGGAGAGATCCCTGACATCAGACTTAGACTTGCCCACTGCAATTCTTCTTTTAGTTTCCTGGCTGCTGGTACCAAGACTGTTGATTATGGAGCCAAGTAAATTAAAGTTTTTAATAATCTCAATCTCTTCACTATCTATCATGATGCTGACCAGTGGTGAGAATCTTTGTTTTCTTAACATTGAGTTTCAATCTCTACTGAAGACTATCATCCTGGGCCCTCTGTAGCAATTGCTTCAAGTCCTCCTCAGATTCAGCAAGCAGGATTATGTCATCTGCATAACACAGATGAGTCTTCTTTGAATCCTGATGCCACATCCTCCTTATAGAGCCCAACCTCCCAGATGATCTGTTATGCATAGAAATTGAAAAGGTATGCATGTGGATTGCATCTCTGGTGTACATCCTTCCAGATTTTAAACCATGAAGAGTGTCTCCTTGCTCTGTTCTGATGACTGCCTCTTGGTCCAAGTATAGGTTTCACATTAGGACAATCACGTTTTCTAGGATTCCCATTCTTAGCATTGGCCACAGTTTGTTATGATCACACAGTCAAACACCTTTGCATAGTCAATGAAGCACAGATAGACATTCCTCTGGTACTATCTGCTTTCAGCCAAGATCCGTCTAATATTAGCTATAATATCCCTAATACCACAGCCTCTTCTAACCTTAGCCTGCACATTAGGCGGTTTTTTGTTGGTGTGGTGTTCAAGTCAGTTTTGGAAAATTTTCAGGAGAATCTTGCTAAGTAATATCGGATTTGTCAGAAGAAGATAACTTTTATTAGAAAAAATTTAAAGCTTTTTTATAAAAAAGTACAATTTTATCACGTGGAATACAAAAAGTCAGATGCTAAACTGGGCGTGCCCATCAATTTCTTGGTTGTACCAATAAATCTAGAGGACAACTATGTGGCTACTTGACTGAAAGAGATTCATATTCATTCCGCTTCCAAGAAAAGGTGATTTGATAGGGTATAGAAATTATCAAACACTATCCTAATATCACACCCCAGCAAAATCTTACTGAAGATTATCCAAAAACCACTGAAAAACAGTTTTCGACAGAGAACTAGAAGAAGTATAAGCTGGGTTTAAAGAGGCTGTGGTACTAGAGACATCTTTGCCAGCATTAGAGGAACCTTGCCTGAAATCAGAATCAGAAGAATGCTTGTCTGTTCTTTATTTCATTCACTAAGCTGTGTGAATCACAACAGATTGTGCCTAACATTGGGAAGAATGGGAATCCTAGAACACTTGATTGTGCTCAAGTGAAATCTTATACTTGGACCAAGAAAAAAGCATCACAACAGAGCAAGCAAGCACTGCATGGTTCCAAATCAGGAAATAAGTGCATCAGAAATGTTTCCTATCTCCGTATCTTTTCAATCTATTTGTGAAACAGATCATTTAAGAGGCTGAACTTTATGAAGAAGTTTGTGACAGCAGAACTGGAAAAAAACTCATCAACAAATTGCAGATGATAAAACTTTGCCCTCTGAAACTTTAGAGGATCTGGCGTATCTGATGCAGAAGGTCCAGAACTGTAGTGTTAAATACAGATTGAAACTCAACATAAAAAAAGAAAAAATAAAGACTCTCAACACTGAGTCAATTTGCAGCACCATGATTGATGAAGCGATTGAGGTTAACAATCTCAGCTTGTTCAGGTCCACAATCAACACTCCTGGCACCAGTAGCCAGGAAATCAAAAGACAATTTAGATGGAAAGTCAGCTGTCAAGGACCTCTCCAGAGTTTTAAAGAGCAAAGACATTAGTCTAGAGATCAAAGCATGCCTAATCCAGGCCCTCATCTTTGCAATAACCTGCTATGCAACAGAGAGCTGGACAATGAATGACTAACGGTGACAGAAGAAGAGTTTATGCTTTTGAGAAGAGTATTGAGCAAACTATGGACTGCCATGAACAAACAAGTCTGTCCTGGAAGGATGAAACCAAGTTACTCTCTGGAGGCAAAGATTTTGAAGCTGGTCTCATACTTTGGACATGCTTCCAGTGGGGTCTAGTCCTGGGAGAAGGACATCTTGCAAGGAAGGGTGGATGGGCAATGCAGAAGAGAAAGACCCTGGATGAGAGGAAATTATTCAATGATTGTGGTAATGGAGGTAGATGTGTTGAAGCCAGTGAGATTGACTCAGGATAGAGAAGGATTCAGAGCTTTGTGCATAAGGTCGCTGTAAGTTGCAAGAGACTGGATGACACATAACAACAACATGAAAAAAGTCAGGATTGTTACTTAAACTAGAAGTTTGTACATTTATCAATTTTATATATGTCTTCTTGTTGTTGTTATTGCATACTGTAGAGTTGCAACTGACCCAGAGCTGACTCTCAGGTGAGTTTTCAGAGGCAGTTAATCTCACAGGAGCAGACTGCCGTCCTTCTCCTGTGGAGCAGCTGGTAGCCTCAAACCCCAGGCCTTCAGGATTGCAGTTATGCTTCTTGCCACCAGGCTATAAGTCTTAATCATTTATTTTGTTTTTTAAACATATTTAGATCATGCTGACATTTGTGTATGTGTGACATGTTTAATTTTAGAAAGACATTCCTAAGAATTATAATTTCATTAAAATATTTGGAAAATTTAAAATTAATGTATAATAATTAGAGAATTCTGATTTAAATATTTATTATGATTTCTCTTTAAAATCGTTGATTTCAAGTTTCTCCAAATAGTAATTCAGACTTTGCAAAATAATATTTCAGATTAGATAAACAAAACAAAAAACTAACCTGTGTGATCAGGATGAGCCAGCACTACATTGATGAAATGGTTTCCAGTTTCACAAATCTGCAAAACATTTCAATGTTTTATAATGTAACTGTGTCTTTTAAAATTTTTCTTCTATGGCCTCTATGTAATAAAAAGTTTACATTTTCTTTGTGCTTACCTTATATAATACCTGAATATCCTCAAGAAATATGATTTCATTGTTATAAAGAGGGTTTTTTACGAAAGATAGATGCTCAAAATAGTTATGTGACACACAATGGAGTATTAAGCAACAATGAAAAACAAACTTATAAAACAGTATACAACATAGATGAGTGTGGAAGACATTATACTGAGTCAAATATTTCAGTCACAGAAGGCCAAAACTGCATAAGACAACTATTATAAAAGAAATTTGACACTGGTTGGGAAAGAGAACAGGAAAAGAATGAATAATAAACACTGCACTGAAACAAATTAAGGAAAAGACTGTGAAAGGAACATATGATTAAGTATCATATGTATGGCAATTAAAAAAAGGACTCAAGACATGCACTGCAAAGTGAATAACAGAAAGGGAATGAAAGGAGAGAGAGAGGAAAATGTGCATCAGAGAATGAAAC